CACAGTGACTAAAATTAATATGAAAAGGAAAAATCTTATTTAACAGATTTAATTATAGTAAAGTATATTATCTCTTTCAAACAAAATAATATATAAAATTATATAAAACAAGTGATTTCTTGTGTGATTCATTGTGTTGAGGTTATCCCAGGCAGCACACTGACGTTACAGAGACGTCATTTATTGGTCATGAGTTACGTCATTTTTCACCAAAGGTCTGACGTCAAAATGACGTCCAGCTCACGTCATTATGTCACGGCACAGTGACGTCATTTTGTGACGTTACTGTAACGTCAATTTGTGACGTTACTGCGACGTCAATTTGTACCGTTACTGTGACGTCAATTTGTGACGTTATTCTGACGTAGGGATTATAGGAAATAATATTACTAATAAATAATAACAGCTTTTATTATAAATTTGTATAAAAAATCATTAAAACTAAACATGACTTCTGAAAAAAATGGGATGCAAATTTGGGCTGTCATTTCATAACGGAATTTAAGAACATTGTATATTTTATCAAACGGCACCTGTGCCAAGCACTATCCTGAGCAAAATGGTTAAAAACAAAATAATTTCTATTTAAAAATCACACAAGACATGACAGCGATAATTTTGTTTGCCCTGAAAAATTTTTCCTTGAAAATAACATTCAAAAATTCAAAATGTATGTGATTGCAGTAATTACTAAGTATGTAAAACATAAAATTTTATTACCGTTACATTTCTTTAATATATTTTTCTTTAAAATTTTTGGAGGCCTTTTCAATGCACTTTCTTCATTACTCTCATCCTCGCTGCTACTACAAATTTTTTTTGCTCGCACTCTTTCTGGGTACTTCCTCATCAAATTCTGAATTTAGGTCACTTGAATTTTCTGCCTGTTTTAATTTTCTTCTCCCCTTTTCCAAATCATCTAAAAAAATTACATTCATTTAAAAAAAAATGTAAAAACTTTTTGTTCACTCAAGGAATTAAATATACTACATTCACAACATAGTTTTGTTAAGGTTTTAAAGAATACTTTTTATTCATTTAACATAAATACAAACATTGTTAAAACCCGTTAATATAAGACTTAATTTTTCATTGGTAGTAAGTTGTTGGAATGATATAATAAAGCCCACATTATTAAATTAATCATAATAATTTTGCCCTGCATATAGAATATTAACAAATGTAGTTTTCTTTAATTGATATATAAAATTTCTGTCACCCATTGACAACAATTTTATAGTTAGAATAAAAAAAATTATAACATTTATAGTATATTTTTATCTTCAACTAAATTATACTTTGTTAATTTTACACAAACAGCTGTAAATTTTACATATCTAATATTACAACAAATGATAAACTTTTACAGAAAAATATTCTTGTCATAATAAAATGATTTTAAAATAAGACTAACAATATAGTTAATACTTAAATTGTAGGTACTGATATTAAATCAGAAATGTTATGGGAAATTAATGTACTGTCTACTGTCCACTGTAAACTTGACAAAATAAGTATTACATAAAAACAATATTTTGTTAGTGTTCTACTTCAACGTTTTTGATTCTTGATGTGTAGGGATTTATCTTTTAGAGCAACTTACCAGTTTCATAAAAAATTCGCCTAACACCATACAAACTCCAAGACTCATTTACTTCCTCCCCATTTTTAAGCGATTTGTTAGAAGTATTTAATTCCTTGTAGGGCGGCCAATAAACTCTTCTTTTACGTGAATGGTGTCAACCATTTACGATGAATTAATGCTAGGCCACCCCCGCATTCATCGGAAAATTGAATGACTAAGTACATGACTAAAATATAAGAATTTGAATGCTCTAAAACAAATAATAAGAGGAATATATCACTTAATAACACTAAAAACACAACGAAAGGCCCGCAAAACTTTGGCGTCCACCTTCCAAATTGAGTCAAGAAACGAGACTAATGGCGGCACTACTATGCACGATTCACGATTATAAAGCGAAGGCGGGAGAGATAGCGTGGGTTTTTTGTTGAACACTACCAAATCGGCGCAAGTCCGAATCAAAAGTAAACCATAACCCAACTTTTCCTTCTTTTCTCTTCTTTGCTTTCTCTTAGTTAGCTGGCACCCAATTGGCGATCAGCAAACTTAATAAAAAAATATACTATTTTCTCTTAAAGGGTGACAAAAAACTGTTTTTTATCACTCCGGAAAAATAAAATCACCAAGTTTGTTAACACTTTTATTCGAGTTAAAAATTATGACCATACTGTGACGTATATATGACGTAAAATAATGACGTGATACTGACGTTACATTTATGACGTCTTTGAAACGTCATTTTTAGGTGATGTGACGTCAGGGACTAATTATCACCAAAAAATGACGTCTCTGTAACGTCAGTGTGCTGCCTGGGATGTTTCAAATTTGACATTTTAATAAAGAAATTCTTGTACTAAATGTATATTTTCAACAAAATATCGGTAGGAAACTTACCTTTTTAAAATCAGAGAGTCATTAAAAATATTAAAGATAATTAGTACATCGGATGTCCAAGATAAAAGATAATTAAAATTCAATAATCAACTTGCTTGTCGACAGAGATAAAATGAAATGACAATCCAAGTTTTGACACAAGGCATAAACGACAAATGACGTTTGTGTAGAGATGTTGGTTTCAAAATAACGAAAACGGTTCCGATCGTTACAATGTTTGGGTCCAAATAACGAAAACGGTTTTAACCGTTACAAGTCTCAAACTTATGTTTCTTATTTCAATTACCATAAACCTATAGTTTCAATGATAAAAATTCCTGAATAACCTACATGTATTGTAAGATAATGAAAATATTTTAAACAATATTAACTTCTCATTTATTTCAATAACAAAAAAAAATGTTTTCTTATCGGTCACCACGCTCAAAAAGTGTAACTTGAATTAATATCAAAGAAAAAACTTAGATTAATATAAAAAAAATACTGCATAAATAAAATAAATAAATAATTATAATTGCATAAGTTGATAAAAAATGCTATGCAATAGCTTTACCGCGGCAGTCCTCGAGTGCCACAAGTATTTTTTTTTCTACTATTTGAGTGCTAGCTGTAATTATAACAGGAGAGTGGTCAGAAGATAGTTTTTAAATATAATAAAGCGATCACTTACGGCCAGGAGACGGACGGTTTTAAAATTACAACCTAAAGGAGTACAGACATGTTCATTCAAAACTTTGATAACTTATGAGCTAATTGTTTTTACTGCCAGCTCTCGAACTATTAATTAGACTGGCCATAGTTAGGAAAAACGGAGAAAATGGGCCAAACAAGCAGAACTCCAACAATCTGACACTCAATATGGTATGAGTGACTTATGAGGCAGAAAGAAAGAAAATTAATTTTAATTTGTGATGTTTGATTTGTATTAATTTGAGTGATGCCTATATCCAAAAAAATGTCTCACTTTAGACAGAGATAACGTCGTGAAGCGCCTTTAAGAAACCTCATTCTTGCCTACATACATCCGTTTAAATTGTTAAAACGTCCGCAATTTCTTTGGCTTACTTCGTAAATGTCAAGAATAATTATTTGATTACCTTTAATCTAGTGTATTTAGTTTGATTATATAATAGTGTTATTATGAATAAGCTCATAAATGAAATTATTTATACAGTAGAGAATAAATTAGTTTGGCTACGCCTTTTCGAAAGAAAGAAGGAGTTATTGCGGTTAATAGTCCGCGATGCATTATTTATTATATTTCTTTCTATTCAATAGCATTATTTTTTCTATCTTGTTCTTCTGGAGTCAGTATTTATTAGCTGCAGACGATTCTTCATAAAGTCATTCAAAAAATTCACTAGTAGGGGAGACCAGGGGCCTATTTCATAAAACTTCTTTGCAACTTTTCACTTTGCACTTTGCAAATTTACGAGTGCAAAATACTTGTGCTTTGCAGATTATTAATTTTCCATTTTCACTTTTCAAATTGCTTTTCAAATTTTACTTTTTAACTCGTCAAATTTCTCTTTTATTAAACATAAATTTACTAAAATATACAAAGTGCAAAATTGCAAAGTAGTTTTATGAAATAAGCCCCTGGACTAAAAATCATAAAATTTGGTTGTTAATTTTGTGGGAAGTCATTTTTAATTCTATAAATTTCATTTCTGTTGCAGTTTATCAGACTGTTATTTGTCTATACAATATATTTATAAATAACGTAAATATAAATATTTTTTACGAAACGTAAAATGTCATAAGTGTGACTCTTGCCCTAATGATGGAGAACGTTGCCTCACGGAAAGGGGTAAGAAGGTCACACAAATATTAGGTTAGTTTTCATTCAAAAGGATGCAAAAATATAGATAAAAAAGAAATAGGGTTATCACATGCTCTATTTAAATGTTTTTAATCAGTGTCATCATCTTCGCAGTTCTAAAAGACGGTGTACCGGGATTGCACAGTTCATGGGCCCATAACTTACAAACTGTACATTGAACCTAAACCTCCTTTAATGAAGTATTTAAAATAATGGTTCCAGGAAAATAGGTAATAAACTTTCTTCATCCTCTTTCTCTGATTCTTCAGGAGACTCTTTTTAGCTCTTTTTTTTACCTTTTTTATTTTTATTATTCGACCCTCTTATATTTCCTGTTAAATTCTTTTCCTCTTTGCATACTCCGCCTCCAAAATATTCTTCTCTTATCCAGCCACTTTGGTTAGCTGTTTTCGCACATCCTGCTGGCCCAGATGTTAGCCAAAATTCTTTAAAATGCACCTTTGGTTACTCTTGGAAATTTACTCCGAGTGATAAAGTAAAAAAAAAATTAATAATTTTTGAAATTTTTTGAAATTTTTTTAAACTCTAAAACTCTAGTGTTACCCAATGAGGTGACCCAATGAGGTGACCCAATGAGGTGACCCAATGAGGTGATCATCCCAATGATGTATTTAACTTGATTATCAGTCATTATTATTATTATTTTTTATTTTAATGACAGTTTTTTCTTAATTTTAGGTGGAAATCGATGAAAAAGTAGTCAATGCAAGTAAAAAACATTTGCCTTTTATGGCAAAAGGTTTCAACTCCCCCAAAGTTACGTTGAATATTTGTGACGGATTTGAGTATATGAAGAACCACAAGAATGAATTCGATGTGATCATCACCGATTCTTCAGATCCTATTGGACCAGCTGTTAATCTTTTTACAGAATCTTATTACAAATTATTAAAAGAAGCCCTCAGACCGAAAGGTAAAATATTTTTTTATACGTTTTATATTATACATATTTTGTAAATTTTTAGACTCGATAGCGTAGATTATAATTTATAGTAAATAAAAATTTAATGGGGGTGTAGAGGGAAATTTTCGGCGCCTACAATGCTTATGGTTGACGGTGTCACTTTGAGATTGGAACACATACTTTGATTTGTATGTGGACTGGAAAATAATTGACGTGGAAAGTACGTATATACAGATGCGGAAAGTAAAACGCGGACCTTTTGATTTACGATGAATAGAGGACTTTTATACAAAGGAAGTGCAACCAACTTAACAAAATAAAAGTGACACTAATGACATAAGAAATCGAATCACTTAAAGAGGCTGTTTTTTATTTCACATTTTTATTTTTCTTATATACTTTTATGCCATTTACATACCATGTTGTACCCGTAAGGTAAAAAAGACTTTTAAGTTTAGGGTATTTTACATCTAAAGGTTAAAAATTTTTGTCAGCGTCAGCTGTAAATTATGTTGATGGTAGAACACAGGCGTAACCATAGATGGACAGAACGTAACTAGCATTGTATACGGTTACATAGTGTATGGAACTTGTATTTGTAGCAGCAGCATTTTTGTATTTGACATAAATATATAAAACCAAATGAAAAAAATGTTTAAGGAAGCCGTGAGAAACACAAATAGACTATTAATAATAAAAAAATAAATTGCAATGATACGCTTATGTTTTGACATTATCGACAGCTGATATTGAAAGATTTCAACCTTTAAATGTAAAATGCCCTAAAATAAAAAGTCTTTTTTACGTTACGGGTACAACATGGTATGTAAACGGCATAAAACTAGATAAGAAAAACCAAAAATTGAACAAAAACCAACCTCTTTATGTGACCCGATTTCTTATGTCTTAGTGTCAATTTTATTTTGTCAAGTTGGTTGCACTTCCCTTATATAGAAGTCCTCTATTGGACAAAGTGTAACAGGAAGAAACTTGAGACAAACAAAGACCACGGTTCGTAAAATAATACGGTTGCCTCGTAACTTCTAGCCAATCACGACACGACCTGTCGTGACGTCACAAGTATGCTGGTGACAAATTCCAAGCATATCAAGTATAATGGAAATAATGTTTTTAATAATAAATTACATTACAGGGCAAAAGTTTAATAAAGACAATAAACAGAAATTATAATAACGTGTTTCATTAATATGATAATAACTAAAAAAGTATATTTTTTATTATTAAAACTTAAAAGGAGGTGGTGGTATTATATGAATTACATGATCAATGTTTATTTGTACCTATATTATAATAGTTATTTTGGTTCTTAAATAAAACAAGTATTACGACAAAATATATTTAGATCAAAATAAACACAGCAAATAAAAAAATGGTGTAAAATTAATAAACATTAGTTAAGTAAAAATTGAAATGTAATAATAGAAATCAAAAAATCAATTTACTTAAATAATTATATCACTGTTTTTTTCATTTTTTTAGAAAATCTTCTATCTTCATCGGTGTCCCTTTTTCTTTTATTTAATGAATATGATTCTTCAGCTTTTTTTAAATTAAGGTATTTTATTCGGACAAATACCCTCTGTCGAACAAATGAATTAATTAATTTTTTTGCCAAAAGTGGTTCTTTTCACTAATAAAATTCGTTGTTCGATTTACAATCTTCACTGGATGAGCAAAATATGTGTTATTAACTGTTATCTCCATTTCTTTCCAAAGCCCAATATTTCCACCTCCACAATCAGATACACAGGCCACAACATCATAGTTTATATCGTTAAGCTCTTTAATAGCATTTAGTAACAAAGACTTGGTCATTTTGGTATCAAATCCAATAAATACTGGCTGCTTTCATGAGCTAAAGAGGCCTCTTGCCATTATAACCTGCATATATGAATGGGGACCAACAATTCTATCCAGCTTTTGGTCATATTCAATAAGTGATGATACTTTAATTTCATCATAAGACAATACAGTCACCCTTTCGAAATTAGTTTTATCTTTTCCAGATATGTTCATTATTTTTAATATATCTTTTAGTATTCCTTGTTGTAAATTAATGTTTGATGCCCATCTTTGCAGTGTTGATATACCTGGCAATGGATATTTTAATGATTCTCTAACATAAATAGAGAGTTATTGCAAGTTCACTTAAGGTCAGTCACTATTAGTGCCGCTCTTATTTTGACATCTGAGCATGCGCAGATCACTAACTTTAATAAAGATTGTGCCTGTCCTTAATAGAGAGATATTGCAAATTTCTATAAAGTCACTAAAGCCACTAAACTTTAAATTATAGTTAATCTTTTTTGTTGTCTATAATATTAAAGAGGCATTAGAAATTATAATTTTAGAAGGTTTAAATGACGATTATATTAAATATTTAATATTAAAAAACTTCTTATGGATTGGAATGTCGGCGAACGCATCCGAAAACTATGAAGTCGCCACTACCTGCTGCCCTTAAACAGGCACAATCCTTAATAAAGTCAGTTTTAGAACGTAAACATCTACGCATGCTTAGATGTCAAAATAAGAGCGGCAGTAATAGTGACTGACCTTAAGTGAACTTGCAATTGGGCATTCCAAACTTAATGCCTACCAGTGGGCTTTGACGGGTTATGATATTGTAAAATTATGGCAACCCTGTAGACCTGGTGATTTGACAAGGTCAATGAAATAGATAGTTACATAGATTGATTATCCATATTTTTTCAAAATAAACATAAGCGTATGCCTTGAAGTAAAAATGTAAGCAATTATTTTTTTTTAAATATCTAAAGGCTAAAAATTGGTTTTAAAACACATTTTTGCTAAACCGATTCAAATTAATAAATATTCTATTCTATTCACAATCTTTATTAAAGTTAGTGATCTGCGCATGCTCAGATGTCAAAATAAGAGCGGCACTAATAATGACTGACCTTAAGTGAACTTGCAATAACTCTCTATTATATGCACTGAATTATGTAGAAATATGGATTGTTTTTACTAGTTTACTCCTATAGTTACTATTAAAATAACAAAAATCATGCAAAAACATTGCGCAGAGAAAATGGCCAGAAAAAAGATACTGTGGAAACTCAAATCTAGTCTTTGATGAAGCTGCAAAGATTCAAAATATTTTATAAAATGTTTGTTGATTTAATTTCAAAAGTGAAGCCTTATATGAAATTAGAAAACTTTTAAGAAAATGGACAAAATTGTATTCATCTGTATGTGTGGAGAGTGGGTTGCCCTACAGCACTTAGGCACTACTATTGTACATCCTAAATTGATAGGCCCCTCTTAGCTCGTCAGCGAACCTACAGATTTAATGTAGTTGACAACGTCGCCAAGAGGTGCTCATCTTATATCGGCTGGTGTTAGCCAAAACTCAACGAACACAAATCTTCTAATAAATGAGACCGTAAGACAGTCTTAGATGATAAAGCTTGATGGTCTCATCTTCTTATTTGCACACCTTTCAGAGTGCGGATTCTGATAGCCCCATGCTATGGAAATGCTTCCGTATGTCAATGATAAGTTAGAATACCTGTGAGCAGGCGCAGATTATTTCTAATCATAATCAAATATTTGTTTCATGTATTGTTAAGGTAACTAGGAAGCTCCCTGGCAACTTTGCAGCTTCCTATTTTATCCCACCTTTCCTTGAATTTCACAAAGAATGCTCTTTAATTAGGTTTTACACTAACTCATTTCCCTGATTGCACAACAAACTCGAATGCAGCATACCAAAGCCACACGAACTGGAACTCCCAAAAAAGAGTCTCCCGCCAAGAGTGGGAAACTGCTAAACGGGTATCACGAGATGTGATTCGAATCACGGATCCTATGTCCGAATCCTTTTTGCAATAAAAAAGGATTCGAATCAAGTGATTCGAATCCATTTTTTCGGATCACGAATACGAATCACTGTCAGCGTCATACCATGGTATTATGCATGCTTCTGAATCTAATATCAGTATCAACTAAGTGTCTATTACTGACTATGACTTGCATACAAATGGTTGATACAAAAACATGTAGAAAAGAATAAACTTATTTTTTTTTCTATAAATATGAACCATAAATAAATTAGAATCTACAAATAATATATTTTATTTTATTACAAAAAACAAAATAAACAAACAATGAAATAAAAATGTCTTTTGGTTGGCCTTACATAGCACCAAAATTTCGAGGTGCGTCGATTATACCTGCAAACAAAAATAATTGTTAGACTGTACCAGACGAAGGAAAAAGTGTTAAATTTTAGGATTTTTTTATGTTGGACATTCATTGCCAATTTGTGATGTTAAAGAAGGTAGCGGAGCACCTAGGCAATTTTGAGTTGAAAGCCATGCCATATATTTAGGCTATTTTAAAGCTATTTTTATGCTGTTTTTTTTTGCAAAAATCAAGGTGCTCTGCTAGCTTCGAACGAAGTCAGCAGAGCACATCAGTTTCAACAAGGCACCCTGTATTTTTTAAAAAACACTATTTTTTTCGAAAAGTTTCATATTTTAAAAGTGTAAAAATAGCTCTAACAGGTGACATAAGTAGATGTTTATAGAAAAATAAATAAACTGAGGTGCTCTGCTAACTTTGTTCCAACAAAGTACCCTGAATTATTTAAAATAGCAATTTTTAGTAAAGTTTTAAAATATTTTAAGAGCATAAAAATAGTCTAAAAATGCGGTGTGGTTGTTTTTTTAAAAAAAAGCTTTAAAAACCGATGTGCTCTGCTGACTTTGTTCCAACAAAGCACCCTGTATTATTTATAAATAGCAATTTTTTAATAAAGTTTTATAATATTTCAGGAGCCTAAAAATAGCCTAAAAATGCAAATGTTTTCAGAAAAAAGCTTTAATTTTTTCTTTTAATTTATTTGTAGATTCTTACGTTTATGTCCTAAATATTCAGTCTCAGTCTGTTTCAGTTTACACTTCGCGACAAGTCAAAGCGTATTTGGGCCTCTAAAAGAATCCGATACTAATATTGGTGATTCGAATACAAATCCTTAAGAATTTCTTCGGCGAATCCGGATCACGGATCCTTTTTTTCTTAAGTATTCGAATACCGCTCGCGGATCCTCAAAGAGGATTCGAATCCCACGATTTGAATCCTATGTGATTCGAATCCTCCCCAGCTCTGTTTCATACAAACCAACATGCCTATCAATCAGGAAAATCTTGTGAGTCTGATATGCATCATCTCGTAACCAAGATAGAAGGGGGACTCAGTAGCCAAGAAATAGTCCTAGGAGCATTTCTTGAGCTTTTGATAATACCTACTTTAAATCAATGGTAGCTGCCGCTTACAAACATGGAATACCTTTTGCTAGTAGATAGAAGACATGTTACGCGAATGGCAAGTACAGGCACAACTGTTCAGTGAAACCATGCAGGTGAATATCCACAGGGGATGCCCACAGGGTGGAGCCCTTTCTCCTCTACTGTGGAACCAAGTGGCAGATGAACTGCTGAAAACACTGAACAATCAAGGGCTGTACGCCCAAGGATATGCCGATGACATAGTCGTCCTTATCCGAGAGAAACACCAAACCAGAGTCTTTGAACTCATGCAAAGAGCTCTTAGGCTGACAGAAATGTGGTGCGTTAGGAAAAACCTCTTGGTAAACCCTAACAAGGTACAACTCATAACCTTTACTCGGAAAACAAGTTTGGAGGTTTTAGAAACACCGACTCTGGAGGAAGGCTAAACAAAACGAACCAAGTAAAATATTTGGGTCTTATCCTAGATAGCAAACTTACTTGAAACCAACACTTACAAAAAGTGACCAATAAATGTAAAATGTCTCTCATTGTAGGGAGACGGGAATTTGGAAAAACATGGGGATTGAAATCAAAAATGGTTCACTAGCTGTATTTGGCAATAACAAGATCCATGATAATTTGTGGAGCAGTTGTTTGGTGGCCAAAAGTTAACCAGAAAACAGCCCTCAATACCCTCAGGAGTTCAGAGGCTGGCATGCCTTTGTTTTACAGGAGCACTGAGAAGTACACCGACAGCCTCTATGAAAATCATTCTAAACCTCCCACCTCTTAACCTAGTCATAAAAGGGAGGTCAGAATCAGAGCATATAGATTAGAAATCTCCAACAACTGGAACCCACTGGGACATGTAAGACATACCAGAATAACACATGAAGTAAATGATTCTATATTAAACATGGGACCAAATCATATAACACCCCTCCTAACCTTCAACAGACTCTTCCAGTTTAACTGCAACTGGAACGAGGTAAATAAGGAGATAGATCAATACTTGCTTAGCGGTCTCGTATAGTATGCGGATGCATCTAAAACTAACAAGGGGAGCAGGCTCTGGCGTACATGGAGTTAAACCCAAATGCGACATCATCGTCTTACTGGGAAAACATACCACTATATTTCAGGCTGAAATACATGATCAAATTGTGTGTACGAGAGAATTTAAGAAGGAAGTACAAAAAACAAACCATCCTAATTCTCTTGAGATAGCCAAGCAGCCTTAAAGACTCTGATTCAAACAGAATCAAGTCAAAGCTTATGTGGAACTGTCTTGGAATACTAAATGATCTGGTAACCCACAACAAGGTAAAAATAGCGTGGGTACCAGGGCATAAAGGTATCCAAGGAAACGAAAAGGCTGATGAACTCACCAAAAAGGGATCAGATCTACCATTCACTGGACCCGAACCTGTATTTGGGATAAGCAAAACCTCGACAGGCAGTGAACAGGTGGATAACCACAAAACACCAAATTCACTGGTAACACATAAGAGGGCACAGAATCAGTAAGCTCATGCTAAGGGGACCAAACCCACGTATGGCTACTGAGGTACTACAACTCGCAAGGCCTCAGATATCCACCATTGTGGGATTACTAACACCTTCATGTGATAAAGGTAAAAAAAAACGATGTTGGGAGTCAAATGAAAGGGCCAGGTCCAAAAAGTATTTGCTTGGTTCCCTTCTTGGCTAGTGAATCCAAGAAATAACTCCTAACATATAAGTTTATGGAAACTGGTAACATCGCTTCATCGCTTTCATACTTTTTCTGATAGTATGCTAGGAACTACATCATGTTGATAGAATCGTGTATTTAAAAAATGTATCTCTTTTGTGCCGTCGAAGTACACTCACCTACAATTTTTTTTTTACTAAAATTATTATTTAAAGCAATAATATAAATTGATTTTTTTTTACAGGTGTAATCAGCTGCCAAGCCGGAACCGTCTGGACAGACCTTCCTCATGTCAAACAAACGATATGCCACTGCAAGAAGTATTTTAAAAGTGTAAAATATGCATATTCTAGTGTACCGAGTTACACAGATGGGCAGATCGGTTATTTAGTTGCGACGGTCGATGACACTAACGATTTGAAAAAACCTAATTTTATATTCACTGACAAACAATTAGAAGAATTAAATATTAAATATTATAGCGATGAAATACATAGTGCTGCTTTTGTATTGCCAAATTTTGTAAAGAGACATTTGTCTAAATAAAATTATAATTAATATTTTTATGTTTATTGTACCTAAATATAATTATTTTAAGATCAACTCAGAACAGCTATTCTCCCACAACATATGATCGAATTGGAAATTTGATCAAAAATACATTTTATCGAATGACATTTCATCGAAGATATATTTTATAGAATAACATTTCATCGAAAAGACAATAGATCTAAAGTTCATTAGATCTAAAGAACATTATATCGAAAATCAACATAAAAATAGTAAAATGCAAATGTCCGTTTAATCCCTATTACCGAGGATACTAAACTCCGCGGCTATCGTCAAACGATAGTTGCCTCATTTAACAAATTTCAAGGTACCATTTCGAAATGCGCGACAGCCGACATACAACAGCAAAAGCGACGGCAAAAGAGACCAAGAACGGTCTCTTCACGTCTGAACACATGCAATTATATGAAATATATTTCGCAAGGCGCGACCAGTGCGAGAGAGAAGTTGACAGAAGGTAGATCGGTCTCGGGGTAGAGCGCTCAGTCCTCAGTCATCGCTTGTATTTCAAGGTGATTAGTCAATATTTTATAGAAATGATAGTTGCAAAGTTCTTTCGATCTAGGCAGTGTTTCCAGATAAAAATTTGCTGGAACAGTATGGGTGAAAGGAAAGAGCGGAGATCACCATAAGGGAGCCCAATGCCCAACGACAGGAACACACGTGGTATACAGACGGGTCTAAGACTGCGGAAGGCACTGTGGCGGGAGTATATTCTCCAAAAATCCTGATACTAATCATAGCTATGCTATAGGAATACATTCCTCGGTATTTCTAGCCGAGGTATATGCAATTTTGCAATGTGCAAAAACGAACAATGAAAGAGCTGTCGAAAATCAGCATATTCAAATAATGTCAGACAGCCAAGCGGCACTTAAGGCCATATCGAGTCAGAAAGTTACGTCGAGGCTGGTATGGGAATGCATCGAAGAACTAAGAACACTGGCAGACTGAAATAGAGTAAAACTATTTTGGGTGTCAGGTCACCAAGGGATCGAAGGCAACGAAAAGGCTGACGAACTTGCAAAAAGAGGGTCAGAAGAAACCCGGAACCAGACACAAACCCAGGAGTACCAAAAAGTACAGTCCGGGCTTTCATAAACGACTGGATTCGGGAACAACATATTAACTATTGGGGAAGCACCCCAAAACAGGCACATAGAAAAGCCTTCATAGGCAGACCATGTCCTTAAAGAACAGGAGAACTACTCTTTATGAATAGGAACCAGTTGAAAGTGATAACAGGGTTCATGACTGGGCACGCCCCAGTAAAGGGACACTTGAACAAAATTGGCATGTACAATGGGGAACTCATGTGCCGACTATGTCACAAGAAACCAGAAACGGCCAAACACATACCTACTGTGCGAATGCGAAGCTCTAGATCGCAAAAGACAGGCTCTTTTTGGACAACCCCAGGTTGATCCAACAACGTATAGAACTCACTCATCCAAGGATCTTTACAAACTTGTACAAGATGCAAAGGTGACAGAGTGGGTGCTATGAACAAACATGGGGTAAAACACAATAAGCCAATAGGCTTCAGTGTTATTCGGAGATATAGTCAGACGAGTCCAGGAGAAAAAAAAAATGGGTGAAAAAAAACCAGAACAGTAGAGTTTAATACAGGGGAAATAATTATAATTTGCAGTGTAGTAAATAAAAAAAATATGTATATAAGAAACGAAAAATAAACAGTTTTCTACCCAAATTAGAAAGTAAACAAAGAATAAAAACAAATAATAACATTTTTAATATATACTTAACGTACGGAAACAACCAATTAAAAATTATAGGTATTTCTTTTAGATCAGTCTGAATTAGATAATTCAAATACGTTATATTTGGCATGCATATTCTTTTTATGGATACCCTATTAATTCTTTGTTGCATTTTAAATAAAAACATAATGATTATCTTGAGGTTTTTTTATGGAGCAAACCTACAATAGCGGCTGCTTATTACGCTGCTTTTACTTCAGCAAATTTACTAGAGAAAATATTCTTTGACCATTTGCTGAAGATTGAGGCAAACTTAATAAATTAAGAACAAAATTTGCTAAGTTGGCGAAAACAGTAGATTTCATGCCTAAAACAGAAGAACAGAGACAAATACACTGGATCTACTTAAAAACAGTAGGTCTGGCAACACTCATGGTTCCCTCAAATAGTTGTCTGCGGTTGTCGCGTTGCCTGTCTCCTTGCTTCCAAATATGTGAAGCATAACGTAAATGCCTCCTGAGAGTTGAGAGCCCACCGGGCGCGTCTCTGGATGGTTGATAGGAGGACGGTCAGAGTAGCTGGCTAGTGGCAGCTATAAGTAGGGTGAGAGGACTTAAAAACCCCCAAAATCCTTTGCAAAACTGTTGTTGCGAACCAACTCCCCAAATTAAGGCGTAACGCGACCCGTGATGAGGCTGAATGATGGGTCAAGGTATTGCAAACGGAGCTTCTGGGACACCAGGTCAGCTGCTCCCAGAGTATCACGACCTTACTGCGGCATGCGGGGCTCTGCCGTAGCGGACTGTTTTTTCCTAGTTACTCATGGGATCATATATGAATTCTAAAAACAACCAAAATAGCGAAGTGCCAAAAAAATAGCGAGAGGCAACATCTCTGGCGAAGGCTAAAAAGCTAGCAAAGAGGCGTAAAGTCATCGTCTCCTCCCTGGAAGAGGTAGACCAAATGACCGAGGACGAGGTACACTCTGCCCGTCTAGATGGACACTCAAGAACGTGGCTAAAGGAGCTCTTGGAAACCGGCCTTGATTACACAGCCGCAAAAAGACAGGTGATTAACGAACATTTTCAAAGGGCCCAGAGACTAGAGCGTCAAGACTATGCGAAAGAAGCTGCCAAGCACGACACAAAAGCTCAAAAACGCCCAAGGTCGACAGACGCAACACCGCTGCAGGTCAACCGACTGAGGAAGAAGGTCAGAACTGACGAAGTTTAGTTCAAAGAGGCCCTTACTTCAGTAAAGGTTGCAGTGGTAGAAATAGGGTACCCCCCAGATAGCACACGACGTCCATTGGACGTCCATATTTTGTCCAAATAATGTCCTGGATGTCCATGAACTTCATATGGATATTCATTGGACATCCGTTTTCCGTTATCCAATGGATATACCCATTCAGAAGTCCAATGGATGTCCAAAAAATGTCCATAATGGACACTATAAAAATGACTAACTTATACTAAATTATTATAATTCTTCTTGCATAATTTAGTTATTTACTACTGGGTTTTAATTAAAATAAATCAAATAATTTTCCTCTCCTCTCGTCTCTGTTGACAAGATAGAAAAGTAAAAGGTCACTCAAGCCAGACTCGAAGAAGAAAAGAAGAAAGAGGTTAAGGTGAAAACACAGCCTATGTAGCACATATATGTTTATCTGGTAAGAAAATAAGTATAATTATTAATTAAATCATTTAAAAATCTAAAAATAAAAATCAAATCGTTTGTTTTAAACTAATATAACCTATCAATTATGTTTTAAACTTTATGTTTTCGATTTACATTCAAAGAATCCCTTTCTTTTAGACCTACCTATTTGAGAAAATGGCTTTACTAAAAGCTAACTAATATGCTGCAAATTCGAGATGATGTCAACACAATTATTATTGTAACTAAGGGGTGAGAAAACTCAAAGCAGAAGAAAAGTTTCTATTTGTACTACATGAGACGTTAGCAGAAGTAGAAGGCTATTTAGGAGATACAAATATTTTTACTTTTATTAAATAAAATAGAATCGTTTTGTAACGTTTAAGAAATAATGCATTGAAAGTGGTTTCATAAGTTATTTCTCTTTTATGTTCACAAATACATATTTTTATTGCAATTTTAGATTCAGCAGTTACCAAAACCAGGGCCAAGGACATGAGGAACTTATAAAAAGATGGTTTGTTTCCATAATTTCTAATACCCTCACGAAAGAATTCACATAATATGATGGCGTGAAAGTAAAATGTTAATTTAAAGAAACAATAAGCAGTTTTTTGTTTATATATAAGTATAGGGGTAAAGTACATTAGTCAATGCATATTTTCATATTAGCTAATATTATTTTATCTAAAAATTTTACATTTTTAACTATCACTTTTGCCTGATCAGGCGTTTATTAAACGATTGATTTAAGACTCAATATTCGTATAAAATGTAATGTCTTTTTTTAGCTGCTGCTGAGAGTGACAATGGTGCTGCTTAAAAAATAAGCGAAATAGCCTTAAGAAAATGACTGAGAAGGTCAACAGACAGGAGTGCATATAAAACTAATACATGCTTGATATTATTTATGACAATAAAAATAATTGCAAATAGTTGCAATTATTTTATTTCATATTAATATCGGTGGTGATGTCCATAAATTGTCCAAAAGCAATACAAAAAGAGTCCATATATGGACCTTTCATTGAGTCCAAATTGACGTCCAGGAGTGGGACATTTGTATAGTCCAGTGGATGTCCATTGTATGTCCTTCAGTAAAATGCTGGACATCCTTTGGACAGCCGATATGTCCAAGAATGGACTTCCGATGGACATCCAATGGATTGACTTGTGCTGTCTGGGCCGGAGATCAAGATGAGTCCAGAGAGACTAGGAAAAGTCCAAGACTCGATCACCGAGGTCCACGACAAAATCACCTCAGAGGAAACAGAGGCAAGGTTGGCCAAGTGCAGCCACAAGCCAGGTTATCTGGTCGTGACTTGCGCGGACCGAACCAGTGCAGACTGGTTGCGGGACATCGTCACAACCATCCAACCTTGGAAAGGGGCAAACCTGAAAGCTTTAGAGGGTAGAGATATCCCTAGGTCACTAGCCTGCATAGCATTCGTCCCCGACAAAAGAGGACAAAGGCCCGAAGGGGATAAAATCCTCAAAAGGCTAAAAATAGCCAACCATGGGCTAAATACACACCTTTGGACAGTGTGGAGTAAAATCCCATCGGCAAAAGATCAAACTTGGGTATTTTCGATG